ATAGACAAACTTTTTGTATTTTGTGACGTTACATGTTGATTATCCATTAGTGAAATGTTGGTTAAAAACAAATTTGAGTATACTGAAATGAACTTGTGTCACTTTCAAAGTTAATGAGTTATTGTGATCGTTAATTAAGCGGATAATATTTCAGTTGAGCAGTTATTCCTTTTTTTAATTTCTTTCAATCATTTTGGTCTGAATTGTCTTCGTATTCAGAATCTAACTAAGATTCTTCGCTATTTGACAACGAACAATTATATTAATTTATACTAACAATATTAATGATACTTAATAACATTAATGAAACATTAATTGATACAAGTTAAATTTTATTTAAATTTAATTAACACAAATTGATATAAGTGATATTTGATGTTCACGTGTTATCAAATATTAAACGGTTAATGCTTTCAAGTTGATAATTATTTGATATAATTAATATCCTATTAATTTATATATGTTGAATAAATTGAAGAAAAAATTCGTGTAGTTATTTTCAGTTAATTTTATATTTCTTCAAATTAATTCAGAGGAAATATTTTAAAATCCTTTTTGTGTCATCATATCGTGTCAAACTTTCATGTCTCTTAATTAGTAATTACTCGCTATAATTATTAACCAGTCAGTTTATATTGAGATAAAATATTCATACAATTATTTTTAATTAATTGTAAGCTTCAGATTAATACATAACAAGTGTTATTTTACGATAATTTTATATTGTCATGTCATACTGTATACGACAACACAGTGGCAATTTTTAATGTTTCTAAATTTCTAATCTTTTACTATAATTGACAATCAATTTACTTTGAATTGAGAATATTAATAAAATGATTATGCAGATATTTCTAATATTTTTTAAACTTCAGGTGAGTATAAAATAAGTGTCATTTTACGATAATTTTATGTCAACAAACAATATCAAATTTCTTATATGAAGTAAAAAGATAACTTATTATCATATCAAGTTTCTATATCAGTAATTGTTCACTATAATTGATAATCAATTTATCTTAACATTAATGATGAAATATTTACATATTCATTTCCAGTCAATTTTATCATTAAAATTATTATTGTACAAACTTTATTTTACGTTGATTTCATGTTCTCGTACCATATCAAACTTTGGATACTTTCAAATATATTATAGCAACTTACTATAATTAATAGTCAGTCAATTTATATTAACAGCATTGATAACATGCTCGGTAGTCAGTCAATTCATAGTAAAAGCATTGATAACATGCTCATACAGTCATTGTAACAATTAACTTTGTTACATTAATTAATATGAAATGTTTTATAATATCATGTCTTACAATATCAATCTTGACTTCAATGTCAAGATCTTCGTTCGACAGAGTTGATGAATTTCCGAAGCACCTCTCTTAGCTCTGAAGTTATTGGACGATCGTTTTACATACGACTTCATATGTAGAGATTAATTATGATCCGCCTGTCGTTTCGATGTAAATTTAATTCGACGGAACACCGAGACTAATGTAACTGTCACACCGTTACCATTTCTCAACGCATTGAGACAGATAACGCATGTCGTCGGCGACTAAATCGAATTTCATGCTCGCTTCTCGACCGACGACAGCCACTACGTAATAAAAAGACTTGTAAAATTTCATCTTGCTTTATCACCTCCGTTGGTGCTTCTCAAATAATTCTACACGAATGAAACGGCAATAATTGTAACGATCATTGTTTTAACAAGCGGTGAAATCTTGTAGCTGAGAGAGAGTACATTATTTAATTACAAGTCGAAGAAAATGTTGAACATTTTTTATTTGAAATCATATGAAATAGTTTCGTTAAAATTTATTGATATATATTTTTTTAAATGACTACAAGTATCATACAAGATTTATTAATATGTTAAACATGTTTAACTGGTAGGTAAATAATTTAATATATGTTGTATTTATCACAATGATGGGTAATGTATATGATTATATTCTTGCCTTAAAGAAATTTTACACAGTCTATAAATTGTTAAAGAATTTAGAAATTTAGAAAACTTAAATTTTCATATTTTTTAATTTTTTTATTTTCAACTTTATACATATTAATTGTATATTTAAAATTTGTTTTTAGAGTTTAGGTATTTAGGAACTTTTAAACATAGAAATTTCCAAAATTTTCAACTTGCAAGTTTAAAAATTTAAAAATATAGAAATTTGTAAATTAGGTAATTCTGTTTCATAATTTAATAAATTGGAAATTTTTGAATTCGGTAATTTAGAAGCTTCAAAGTTATGAATATTGTTTTTGAATTTTATGATTTGATGACCTGGATACTTAGAAATTTAGAAATTCATAAAAATTAAAAAATTTATAAAAATCCAGGACTTCATGAAAATTCAGAAATTCAAAAAAATACAAAAAATCATAAAAATCCAGAATTTCATAAAAATGCAGGGACTAATAAAAATTCAGATACTTATAAAAATTCAGATACTCATAAAAATTAAAAAATTCATAAAAATGCAGAAATTCAGAAAAATTTAGAACTTCATAAAAGTTCAGAAATTCATAAAATTAATAAAAATCCAGAAGTTCACAAAAATTCAGGAGTTAATAAAAACTCAAGGAATTAGAAATTAAAAAATTAAAAAATACAGAAACAGGTAAATACAGAAGTTTCTCAAGTTTTAAAATTGAGAAATCGACGACCCGTCATTATCCACAAATGGCCGTCGCTTGCAATGTCATTTGGCCTAACAAGCACTTCGAAGAAACCTGAAGTCCTTTCTTCGCATTTTACAAGCAAATGTAGCACTTTGAAAGAAGACAAGAAACAACAGATTCCAATACAACGGCATCGAATGGTTTTTGTATGGAGTTCTCTTATCGATCTCTTATTAGATCGTTTACGAACCTTCTGAAGGCATTCTCTTCCGTTCTTATTCTTATTGTCAGAAGCGTTTTACATTCTTCGTTTTTACGTATTTGCCTGTTTATTGCCGAGGCTCTCGGAACAATGCGAGGAATAACGGAATCGTATTTCCAGAAAACTCGTAGACTATTATTCATAAAACGGCGAACGAATAGTTTTTCCTAGGAAAAATTTAAATTACTTTGGAGTTAAATGAGACCTTCCTTACACGTTATTCATTCTGTTAATTCAAACTTTGCTTCGTAATCAGTTTTGTAAATTTAGTTTGGATATTCCTGATTTATTACGTATTTTATTTAAAATCGTTTAGGCGGGATTACAAAATTTAAGTATCTTAAATTATCAAGTTTTCTTTTTAATTTTTAATTTTTCACATTTTATAATTTCTCAAATTTTTATGTTTTGAAATTTCTTTAATTTAAGAATATCTAGGTTCAGTAACTTAATAAATTAGAAATTTGCTAATTTATAAATTAAAACAATTAGAAATTCAGAATGTTGGAAATTTATCTTTATGATTCCCCATTGATCATATCATAATAAAAATACTACAAACACACAAAAATACATTGCACACATACACATTCTAATATTCCATCATAACTTCAAGATCACAAATCAATTTTATTAACAACCCATCTAAAATCATAAAAGTACCATGGACCCATATCGAAATATTTGTCTTTATCTAATAAAAGACATAGCTCTCTTCCCTATAAAAAATTCCGTCAAAAAATATTATTAATTTAAATCGTACAATTTCCAAGGAGTCTTTCGAAACGTATACCTCACCCCATATCAGAAGCAGAACGTTATATCAGTAAAACCTTGCCACGTCATCTTAAAAAGCACCAGCAAACGATAACGTTATTATCCCCATCGGAAATAGGTCTGAAAACTGGAAGGTTAAACTATTCACCCACGAATGGCATCGTTTGAAACTATTCTTCAGTTCCAAAGTAGTCCTATCGTACTACTTCCCGGAATGGTTCAAGGACGCTTTTATTAGGAGGGCGTCAGAAGGAGAACGCTTTTAGAAAGTTCCGTAAGGGAACTATTAGAAGAAAAGGGAAGAGGATTCGAAGGGGAGCAGGTTGCACCCCCGTAAGAAATGGCTGCGGGTTCGTCTCGCCGCTAAGACGCCCCTGGTATCAGGTACCCGCGCCACGAACGGGCCCGGTTTTATCTAAATGACGTGTTTTCGTCCTCCCTTATCTTGAAGAGACTCCAGTACAGTCGACTTTCAATGCGTCCACAGATACAGGACCCGCTGCTGACCCGCTATTAACATTCCTGAACGCGGTTTCCATCTTGCGTTTTCCCTTTCGATTCCTTTAAAACGTCTGATCAATTGCGAGCGACGTTCACCCTTCTGATGAACGGGAAATATCTTCTACTCTGTTTCTTCGATTGGAGGAATAACATTTTGTTTAGTTTTAAATTTCTGAAGTAGTGTTCGTAGGTGGTGGGAGAACAAGTATAACTGCTTGGATTAAAAATGATAGAAATAAGATCTGTTTGTTAAAATTTCTTCGTGTATATTCATAGAATGATTTAAATATTTTTGCGTGTCGATTGGGTCTTAGGGGATTCTTTTTTTAAATATGCTATGCTTATGGATTAAATTATTAACTATTTAGAATGATATTCTTATGTAATTTTATTGTTCATATGCACCATAATAAAAATCTGTTTTCTAATTTCTATATTTTCAAGTTTTTATATTCTCCACTTTTTATATTCTTTAAATCTTGTAATTAATATATGGGTGATACTTTTTCATACGAATCTATCATCTACATCTAGAATTTGTTCACTAACCTAATTAGAAATATACGTATGAACTCCATGGTTATTATCTATATAATATATATGAAAAAATATTTAGATAAGTTTGATTTAGGTAAAATATTTATAAGCGAAAATATTGGACAAGTTTTCCAGAAAACAAAAATAGTATTTTTTCATAGAGTTTCAATGTAACAGTCAACGTTATCAAGTTGATCAACATTAAGTTGGCAATCAACGTTATTAGAGTTAAATACATCTATATGTATATAAAAAAGAAAGAATGTGAGAAACTCACCTCCATTTCGTTCGTCTGTTCTGAAACCATGTTTTCACTTGAGCATCCGTCATCTTCAACGACTTCGCCAAGGCTGCTCGTTCTGCCGACGCCAAGTATTTCTGTTTGTGAAAACGTTTCTCCAGCTCGGCGATTTGCAGCCTGGTAAAGCTGGTCCTTGGTTTCTTTCTCTTCGGTGGTGTCCTGTTTTGGTAAGGATGACCGATCCTCCTTGGAAATGCTCCAGCTACTACAAAAAACACAACCGCTAATGTTAACAAATTTAAATAACCATTTACGTTTATAAAATTATTCTTTTTTTAAAAATTATTTCTTACAAAAAATGTGACATTCTCGATCCCATCATAATTGTTCGCCGCACTATTATACCACTAAATAAGACATACATATAAATATTTGTTATACATGTGTATGACTAACACATGAATATAAATATAAATAGTTTATACATTATATTATTGAGAGTACGTTAATCCATGAGTTTATTATACATTCATGATTTATTACATAGTTGTTAAAGTAACATTATGTGAATCATTGACTGATTTACTTAACTAGGATTTTGTTAAGGAGTAATCTGAAACATTTATAAAAAAATTCTCAAAGATATGTATTTTAATTTCTTCATCTCTTTTTAATATCTTTAAACTAATATTTGTAAATTACTAAAAAATTATTTATTAAAATTTGTCAAATATGATTTTTCAACTAATGTAAACAGTTGGATTAATAATCTGGTATAAAAATTAATTTAATATTTTACATATGATATATGGTTTATATGTATACATAAAGTATATGTAAAAAATATGTATATACATATATATATGTATTGTATAAAATCTTTTTTCTATTGATTTTATAAAATTAGTGTAAAGTTTGTCTACTTCTGTACAAAACAATTCGAGTAATTTTGAAACGAAATAAAACAAGAGACCACAAATATAATCATAAACCTAATATTTATATTTATAACAGTTTGAATATGTAACATCAGTGCACTCCATTTAATAAAACAGTTTTGAGCAGGTTTCCAGTAGAAAAACATCGGTGTACAACGTCGAGTTAGGTGGTGCACGTCGTGCTAGAGGAATATTGCTTACGATAAGGTGTAATGGTGGCAGCGACGAAAGCACGCTTTGGGAAAACGATTATAAAACCGTAAAAGCGAGCCTTACGAGTTACACGGAACGATTTGCCGACCGGTGCAAATTGTAACGCGGTCTTTGTAGTCGCCATGAGCAGGTGCATTGCGATTTCAGTGGAAGAGTATTAATAAAATTACCGTTAGCCCGATAACACCGCACCACTTCCATTACCGGACACGCTGTGCAGCTCGGGCGAAATCAAAATGGAGCTTTATCGTCCACTTACGCGAAACTAGCCGCGTAAATCGCGGCTAAAACTCTCGCTCGAGATTCTCTTATCGAGGCAGCCGTTCGTCCAGGTTAATTATCGTGTATATTTGACGATCGAAATAAATACTTTTCGGTTTAAAACAGAAAATATTTCTTTGACTTTACAGAATCAAACTTCTGACTGTTTGATGGACTTAATCTTTCTTTTGGAGTTTATCTTTCTTTGGAATATTAGTATTGACCATTTGCAGTGATTTTGTAGGTACACTGTTGATTTTTAAACTTTTCGGGTTTACTGTGAAGTTCAACTTTGATTTTCTTTCGATTTGCTTTCTTTATGTTCATGCAATTCTTTTAGAATTTGTAATGCATGTATGGGGGGATCGTTAACGTTGTTCAGTTGTTTAATGCCGATTTTATCATATCAGTTTTAACGAGTTACCGTGTTACAATATCTATTATTATTAATTATGCGTTTTTTAGTATTGGTGTTTTACTTCTTCTTTATTCACTGAATAATAGCTTTGCTAACAAATTCATTATCCTCAATAATATATTCTGTTGGAATATTAATCACTTTTTGCAACAATTCAGAAATTTTCAACCGTTTTTCTATTTTTAGGGTTTGCAAAATAACTTTATGTAAAAAGGAATTAGATCCAGTTTGCAACGACTATAGTATGCAAAATTACCGCATGGAACGACATCAATGACTATGTTACATAACATCGCAGCTGTGCTTATGTTCATGTTGTGGTATCAGATAAGATGTTGCTTGCGATAAAATTTCATAAGAAAACATCGATAAATCTGTCTAAATATCTAATAAATGATTTCGAGTTTAGTAAACAGATTATAGAATCCCTTTGCACTTTGATACCAGTCAAAATGACTGATATTAAGTAGTCATGATACAAACTTACGATTCTGAATAAATGGAAAAAAAGTAAAATTTATTATGTTGTATTTTTAGTTATCGCTGTAAAAGTCTTAACATCGTTGCTAAAAAAATGAAACATGAAGTAAGAATTTTAAAGCGACATAGTAAAACTAGTTATTTCTACTGGTGTGATAGTTCTACTGTTAATTATCGTATAAATTTGATGATCACTACTTTTAGGTTTTAAATGCTGTTTGATACTTTTAGATTTGGAACAGAAAATATTTTCTTTTGTTGATAAATTCGAACCTTTGACTTTTCGTTAATTTAATAATTAAAATACTCACACATTAATAAATGTAGTTCTTTATATCTTTAAAATGTATTATTAATTATTGTTCTTCGTGATATACATATGCACATATAAGTAATAGTATCATATTAATTAGTGATAATGATTTTACCGATGTTGATAATTATATTTATTAATTTATAACATTATTTATAACAATTGATGAATTGTTTAAGAAGTTTAATAAATTTTATTTTGTATTTCTACTTTATTTCTTTTTATATGTATACAATTACCTTGTATCGAACTTGTTTCTACTATAATTACAGAAATTCTTTACATTAACTTTACACTGATTTATATTAATACAATGTAGATTGTAAAATTGTAGTTCGAACGGTGAGTTAACCTTCAGTATGGCGCCATTTTGAATTCGAGCGCAAACCATTTCCGCATGCTGTTTACTTTGTTGCTAATTATAATTTATTGGATATTCTTCGTGATTCGAAAAACTGAAGTACCAATCATTTTAGAATATCTTTAATATATCATAATCAATATAATTATTCATAAATGAACTTTTCACAAATGAAAATATAACTTATTTCTTTATTTGTTGTACCATAAAGAGAAATTTTAAATATTTTTAGCGCTTCACTCATGCATAGTTATAATTTACTGAATATTCTTTTCTAAGATTTGAAAAAACTAGAATATATTTAATATTCAATAATCAACAGAATTATAAATTTCTAATACGTTTATGCTTGCTACTGTATTTTTATTAGAATTTTATTTTGTTACATAACCTATTTTACAAACTATCTATGGTTATGAAGTAACAGAAAAGAACAAAAAACGGTGTCCCTAAATACAATAAAAATCAAGGCAGAAACGAGAAGATAAACTTCTTAAACACTATCCCATAAACAATTATTAAATACCGTATGCCTCATAAAATTAATCGAATTACCACCGTTCACCGATTTGTCAACTGCTCTCGATCAACATCGAATCAATAATAATTTACCGAATAAGCATTAGAGACGGTTCACTGCACAACAGAATCGTTTCAACGTGACGAAAAAACCGGTATAATATTTTTAAACTCACATCTAAACCTTTCGACGAATTAAAACCGATCCTCGAATAATCGACTTTATTAGAATACAGTTGATTCGTTCAGTTTCGTTCTTTTTTCGGTAATTTGCTCTCGTTAACGAAACTTCGATACACGGTGAAACGTTTTATCGTTTCCCGTATTTTATTTCCCCTGAAGCGTGACTATCGGCATCATTAAGCATTTAGCCGTCGTAGTAATAGCGCATGAATAACAGAAAGTACATTTAACGCGATATGCATAGCCGTAGATTTAATGGCTGGAAACATGATACGCGTTGTATGCGGTAATGAGAATGAAGAATGTGATAAACATGGTTACAAGACTGGAAGTGGTAACGTAGCTTGTCGTTTTGTTCCGACATTTTTTCGAATTCTGATAGAGACATTTTTCCTTATTCAGCTGCGATTTTTATCCTGTTTCGATTGTTATCTACAAACTTGAAGGAATGAAGGCTTTACATGTGGTAAGCGATATGGAGTTGTTACGAAGGAAGTGATTGACTTTGTTTGTCATAGTGTTAATGGTTGTTTGTTAATTGAACTGTGATGTAAGCAATAAACATTGTATTGTATTGTTGATTGGTTAGGTTAGGTTCATTCATCACGTCAAATATGACTTCATAAGGATGTTTATGTATGTTAGGTTATGTATGTAGAAGCGATTTAAAAATTGAAAGATTGTTATTTGGAGATTTGGAAATTTTTGAATTAAAAAGTTAAGATGTTATATTTGAGAAAATGTGGAGATTATTGAATTTAGGGATTAGAATTGTGGGGAGTTTATGAATTTGAACATTTGGAAACTAGAAAATTGGCAGAAATGGAAATTTGAGAATTAGAAACTTGAAAATTTGGAAATTGGGAATTTAGAAATTTGGAGATATGGAAAGTTGAAAATTTGAGCTTTTGGAAATTTGTAAAGTTGTAATTTTGGATTTTGGAAATTTTAGCTTTTGAGAATTTTGAAATTGGTTAATTCTACATGTGAGTATATAAATCTAGATATTTGAACATTTGAGAATTTGGGAATTTGGGAATTTGGATATTTGGAAATTTGGGAATTTGGGAATTTGGGAATTTGGGAATTTGGGAATTTGGGAATATGGGAATTTGGAAATTTCAGAATTGAGGAATTTAAGAATTTAAGAAATTGAAAATTTGGGAATTTAAGAATTTGAAAATTAAAAGATTTTAATGTTTAATAATTAAGAATGTGGTACTTTGCAAATTTGTCAGTGTGGAAGATTGTACACTTGTAAATATGGAAAAAGAAAATATAGAAAGTTGGGAATTTGAAAATTTAGAAATGAAACTGAAAACTTGAAAATTTTAAAGTTGAAAGTTTGAAAATTGGGGAATAAAAACTTGAGATACGTAACTTTAAAAATGTAGAAAACATAAAATTTAGAAACGTGATACAAATATAGAAACATGAAACTCGAAATTGTGCTAATATGTACACATATGTATGTATATGAACAAATTTTTATTCACATCTTCATCTTATCCTACCATATACAATAATTTAAATTCTAACTATTTGCATAATCACCTTTGTAATACTTCAAAATATTACA